AGCCAGGATGGTCTCGATCTCCTGACCTCGTGATCCGCCCGTCTCAGCCTCCCAAAGTGCTGGGATTACAGGCTTGAGCCACCGCGCCCGGCCCTCTAGGTCATCATTTTTAAGTGGCAAGAAATTTTTATGTAAAGATACAAAAATGGTTGTTCTAGCAACTTCTGATTTCAGGCACGTTGAAGGCAAGGGGTTAATGGAGTAGAAGAAGGAGTAAGTTTATAAAAATCTAATTTGGGACTGGGCATGGTGGCTCACACCTGTAATCCCAGCACTTTGAGAAGCTGAGGCAGGCGGATCACTTGAGGTCAGGAGTTTGAGACCAGGCTGGCCAACATGGTGAAACTCCATCTCTAGCAAAAATATAAAAATTAGCCAGGCTTGGTGGCAGGTGCCTGTAATCCCAGCTACTAGGGAGGCTGAGGCAGGAGAATCGCTTGAACCTGGGAGGTGGAGGTTGCAGCGAGCCAAGATTGCACCACTGTGCTCCAGCCTGGGTGACAAGAGTGAAACTCCATCTCAAAAAAAAAAAAAAAAAATTCTAATTTGGATTTTTGACTCAAAGTAGAAAATTGTAATAGAAATTTCAAAGAAACTTGAATCAGGGTCTTCATGCTCACATGTAAGAGAGGGCACTTGGCACCCGGTTGCTAAGTGGTTCAGACTACTTTCATAGCTGACGGTGGGCATCCCTATCACAGGAGGGGACAGAATCTGTAAGCGGTAGCTGATAGGTGTATAACTGGGTGCCAATTAATTGGATAATGAGGTCAACCTAAATTCTAGCTTGTGTTTACTTTTCACAGGTCAGGGTGAACCACAGCCTGTTCCCAGATTATCCGCAAAGATCAAACTGACCTTGACCAACAAGTTCTAGTTCTTCTACATGTACTTGGGAAACTCACTTTCCAGAGGGAGTTCAGCACTATAGTGACACTTTATTGGAAGAGTTGACAATGTGCCTTGTTTACTAACCCTTCTGTAAACACTTATTTGGTAAACCATCACCAGACCATGTGCCTTGGAATGCATGCGCATGCAGGGGACATTTTTAATGAGGTATAGTGCCATTGAGGGCCCATGTCAGGTGCTATAAGAAGTGCTTTGTTGTGCAGATGTCTTAAGAACAGCTCTGGAGGATGAAATATGACTATATTGACCTTTCAGCTGTGAGCTTATTTGTCAGGATTCAAATAAGTTGAAAGGATCAAACTGAACAGTTTCCGTAGTCAGACTGGGAATTGTGTTTCAGAGGTCAGCAGCGGAGGCCACATTGCAGATTCCATAACATAGCCAATTGTTGGTACATATTAAAGTACTGGGGCATCTCCTGTGGACAGAGACACAATTAAAATTCTAATTTATTAATGTATACAGGGAGCTAGCCCAGCCTGTCACTCATGGATTCAAATGATGGTCCATTCTTTTTGCCTCCCTCTTGGAGCTCTCACAGCCTTAAAAATACCCCGAGTCCTCTTGAATTCATCAGACCTCAAGTGCATTGGGAAAATGAAAATATATTATTGGGGGGAAAATCTTACACATAGTAGAGCTTTGGTTAGAGATAATAAAAAAATACACACATACACAATCTGCCTGATCACACTGCTCTTCAGTATTGAATATCATTTGTGATTTTTTTATGGTAGAATTATTTTCCCTCATACTTGCTTTTTAAAAACATATGGCATTTTTAGGTAACTTCTTTTCCAAGATGAACGAAGTTCCTTGAGGGCTAAATATAAGAAGTAAAGTTTCAGGGGATTTCCTTTTGAGGGCTCTTTTTCTTCTTGCCTGTTCCAGGGTTTTTAGCCACCATGCAGAAGAGGATGATATAGAGGGCTTCGTTTTTCTTGGCAAGGACAGTGTCAAAACCAACCTCACACATTCTGCTGAGCTCTTCAGTCTGTATAAAAAGTGGGGGGAGAAGGGGTAATCTTGAATGCTGGTTTTGGTAAAGAAGATGTCTTGATTTTTTTTCCTACCCCCCAAGTAGAGGAGTTGACAAGCAGAGAATTTAGACCAGCTTTAAGATTTGGCCGGGGGAAAGAAATCTAAAGGGTTGGTGGACTGGTGTGTGTGTGTATCACAGACGATTGCTGAAGGACCCCTCAGCTGCCTGATAGGGTCATGCACATTCAGTAAGCTTTATTAGGTTGGCTGGCCTTCCACAAACAGAGGAGAAATTACTATCCTAGGCCACATGGTATATTACCTCATTATAAAAATATGCATATAGACTTGGTGATTCACAGAAGGAATAACCTTCATATTTAAATATATCTTGCCATACTGCATCCTCGCTGAGGCATCTCCGCCGGAGTGGCTCTGAAATGAAAGGGAAATCCTACAGCAAATCTTAACAGTGCTCATCTCTGATCTTCTCACCCTTCATAACTACACCGAGAGACCGATTTTAGCAAATTTCAGATCTTCTGCATAGAGGAAGGCTTGACAGGGAGGGAGGATTTGATCTGCTGATAGCTTGAGGGGGAAAAAAAAAAAAAAGAAACCCAAATCCCCAAATATACTGTGACTCATATTTTAAGCATATCTCACACTTCCCTGCTTTATGTTTGGCAGCGCTCTCTGGTTTCACAGGCTGATGATACAAACAAAAGAAAATGGAAAGTTAGAGGAGGCTATAAGTGGTTACTCGATAGAGATCATAAAATGTAGTCAAACATCACCAATTTGGTCTAATTTCAGGGAGATGAGAGTAAATAAGAGAGAAATGCCACTCTTTGCAGATCCACATACTGAACCAAATCTGAGCTGGTCACATTCTTGGATGATGTGGTTTATTAATGAAGGCATTAATCGGGTATAGATACTGCTTCTGAAATTCTTGAGAAATATTCTACTTAGTAACTGAAATTATCTTTTTACTTAGTCTGTTCATTTGCTTTGCAAATTTTTTTATGAATGATACAAATGAAAATTGAAAATTGGCCCCATCATAAATTCAGAATCAGAGTGATCTGAATTAATTAAGTGCAAGTTGGTGATCATTTCCAAAGCAGGCTGGGCATGGTGCTGGTGTTCATGGGATACAGAACTGTTGAAGAGACAGACCCTGCCTTCAGGAGGCTTATGAGTTGTAAACAAATTAACGTTTTGCTGCAAAAAGAAAATTACAGATAAGTAAAAATAGTAGGCTCTTTTTTTTTTTTTTTTTGAGATGGAGTCTCGCTCTTTCACCCAGGCTGGAGTGCAGTGGAGCGATCTTGGCTCACTGCAACCTCCATCTTCCAGGTTCAAGCGATTCTCCTGCTCAGCCTCCCGAGTAGCTGGGGCTACAGGCATGCACCACCACGCCCAGCTAATTTTTGTAATTTTAGTAGACACTTGGTTTTGCCATGTTGACCAGGCTGGTCTTGAACCCCTGACCTCAGGTGATCCACCTGCCTCGACCTCCCAAAGTATTAGGATTACAGGCATGAGCCACTGCGCCCAGCATAGGCTCTCTTTTATAAATATTTATATACTTCTGAAGATTGCTTAAACAAATGAAATAAATGCTTAACAGTGCAGGTGTACTCATAACCTCGAAAATGCGTAACTTTACTGGCTGAAGATTAATTTGTGAGTAGATGAGCAATTTTATTGATCAAATTTTGGAACTTTGACCACCGTTTCTGGGTAGCAATTCATTTTGGTTCTTTAAGCATTTTAGTTGTTGGCACGAGTACATAAACTGGAAGGAAATCAAATGACACATTTTCTCCTAAGAAAGTAAGAGTACATGTGTATTCTGGCAGCATTAAAGTTAGGAAAGAAAGTAAACTTTGTGTGTTGCCTACAGTGGAAAGCTCACCAGTTTCAGGCCCCCTATAAAAAATTTGAACCTGAAGCCAGTCATCTGATAGTTTTCCCTCCTGCCCATCCCCTTCCTTCCAAGGTGATGTCATATGTGAGCCCCTTACTCAGAAGGTCATTTCGCTGGAAGGAAAGATGGTGAAACCCACTTAGAAGGCCAGCCCTTTAGTCCACTTGGAAGCTCAGAGTAATCATGTGGATTCTTGCTTTAAGTGGAGGAGGTTAAAATACAAGATTCAGCAGGTGGTTTTTTTTTTTTTAGCATTTTTATTTGCAGTTATATAAAACATGCTTTAGGCAGCA